CATACTGGCGTTGTCTGCAAATTCAGCCAGTATATACCATGGAGGAGCTGAATAATGTGAATCCCCAGCCAAAGTTGCACAAAGTTGGTCGACTATTCATTGGCGGCAAACCTCTGCCAGAGCGTTTCCCAACCAGAGGCACAGCGCCGGTAACACAACCCGAAGTTGTGGCACAAAATGAGAAACGTTTAAGATTTCTTAAAAATGGTATTTATTTGCCAAAAAGTAAGCATACTTTATAGCAAACAAATTTAATATCTGCTTCATTAATTTAGAAACCAAATTGTTGGCACCGAAAATACGCGTATGCTACGTCTACGATGAGCTTATGCTGCAGCATTGCAACACTTTTGAAGACGGTCATCCAGAACAGCCAGCACGCATTAAACGCATTTATGAAATGCATAAAGACTACAAGCTCACAGAACGCATGGAACAATTGCCAACACGCGCAGCAACAACAGATGAGATTTGCCTGGCGCATACGCGTGCGCATGTGAATTTTATACGGCGCATAAGTGACAAAGATGAACTGCAGGGAATGGGCGAGAAGTACAATTCAGTTTACTTTCACCCGAAGACTTTCGATTGTGCCACACTGGCAGCGGGCTCAGTGCTGCAAGTGATCGACAAAGTGCTGCGTGGCGATGCGCGCAGTGGTGTCTGCATTGTGCGGCCGCCAGGTCATCATGCCGAATCTGATGTGCCCCACGGCTTTTGCATTTTCAATAATGTTGCAATTGCTGCGCAGTATGCCATTCGAGATCACGGTTTGAAGAGGTAAGAGTCGAAAAATGTTTAATGTGTATGCCTGCGGGTAGTTACTATATCACTTAATTGTAGGGTTTTAATAATTGACTGGGATGTACATCATGGCAATGGTACGCAACACATCTTCGAGTCGCAATCGAATGTTCTCTATATCAGCATACATCGCTATGACAATGGCACATTCTTCCCAAAGAGTAAAGACGCTGACTTCGATGTTGTAGGCAAGGGCGCTGGTGTGGGCTTTAACGTGAATATACCGTGGAATAAGGTAAGTTCGCATTTCATATTGATATATACTCTTACCCAATACTATGTCTTATATAACCATCTGGATAAATGTAGAAAGGTATGGGCGATATGGAGTATGCGATGGCTTTCCAACAACTTGTTATGCCCATCGCCTATGAATTCGATCCGGAGTTGGTATTGGTGTCAGCTGGTTTTGATGCCGCCATCGGCGATCCACTTGGCGGCTGTAAAGTGACACCCGAAGCCTATGGACTTTTCACACATTGGCTTTCAGCTTTAGCCGGCGGACGTATCATATTATGCCTAGAGGGTGGCTACAATGTCAATTCCATTTCCTACGCAATGACAATGTGCAGCAAGTCGCTGTTAGGTGATCCCATTCCAGCCATACAAGTGAATGGCAATGTTACACGTGGCCTTAGTGCGGCATACACAAGCTGTTTGGAAACCATACAGAATTGCTTGAGTGTGCAGCAACGTTATTGGAAGAGTTTGGTGTTCAACAAGCGGTTGCCACAATTTGCGGGTGAAAACAACAATGAGGATTTTCTTTCTGCTACTATGAAAAATTTAGATATCAACACGGGTGACACGAAAAGCGTACTTGGTTGTGAAAACGTCGCCGATGCAGAGGTGACATTGGAACCGAGCGGCAGTAAGCCGAAGGTAAAAGTTAAAACCCTAACCGAATTTCTCACCGAAAATTTAGAGGTAAATCATACATAAATTTGGCACTGTGAGAATAATCCACTAACGTTCAACTTTTTACTTTTCATGATTGCTCAAAAAAAAAAAA